TTACTATCTATTTGACTAACTACAAAGTCGGCAAGATCAGAAACTGCATCAGCTGTTGAACTACCAGCTCTAAAACCATACTGATTGTTGGATAAGGTATTATTTTTTTCTAAATACAATATCAGTCTTTTGTTCAAAATCTTTTCAAAGATTTTGGATAGGGAGGGGAGTACTGAAATTGGGCGGTAATTATTAACGCATTCTATGTTTCCTCCCTTGTGGATAGGATGAATTATTGATACTTTAAATACGTCCGGAAAAGTACCTGTTTTAATACACAAGTTCAAGATACGTGTTAGAGGTGGGACAATAATGTTTTTGATAATTTTTAATAATTTAGAAGAAATTCCATCCCAACCTACTGCACTATCTGATCTCTAACTCGTTAGTGTAGATTCAACCTCTTGCTCTGTTGTTTCTAACAAAACCATCGAGTTACCAGGTGTGTGCACTGGTTTACATTTGGAAATATTTGAGTTGCCTTCAAGTGTATTTTTATCAAATAACTCTTTTGCAACATTAATAAAATAGTTATTAATTTTGTCTAGAGCAGCTTCTGGTGTATTTTCTATTTTAAGTAGATTAATAGGTGGTACTTTCTGAATATTTCTATTAGTTGTTTTATCAATTATTTTCCATTTCATTTTTGGGTCTTTAGCATATTTATTTAATTCATTTCTTTCGAAGTTTCTTTTTAAGCATTTTAGTATATTATTACAATAATTTTTGTACCTAGAGTAAGTTATATATTATTTTAATACTTTTTTATATTTATATGTCTTATATTATCTTATTGTTATTCATCGTCTTTGCTTCGTCTATATATAAAACTTTTTAATTCCCAGATATCATTCAGATATTTAAATGGTACATTTATTTAACGTTATCGTTACAGCCTATTAAAGTCAACTGCTGAACGTAGGACTCCCTCATAAATTGCTTCATAGGGGGAATATTTGACAAAGTTTGCCACACTTGGCAAGCGAGTTGGCAACCAAAGATTTCTTATTTTAGTCGTAATTAGGAAGACGCTGCTGCCCATCTCCTGATTTGTTTCCCTCTGTCTCCTCTTACGACATCTACGGGATAATATAGAGAAGTGGATATTCTTACACCGCCACTACACGGTAAGCATTTATTAATAGTACCTGTAACGATAATAAAAATATTTTGTTTTATTTTTTGGATGTCCAACAAGACAAACATTGTACACATGGATATTATGCTTACAGTTAAAATTCAAGAATTATTTTATTATACAATAAGGGTGAAAAACAAGTACACAGTTCAATTGATGGTAAGTGTATGCTGTGGCCTGTAAACCTATATTACTTGGCAGAGTCACTTAGCAGGCTTTGCTGTTGCACGGATTTGTTGACTCGAACCGAGTAAGTATCACGAGCTTACAGGGTACCGGCGTGAAGAAGAAATATTCATTACTACATTTCGCCAGGTAAGTGCAGGTAACCGGAGGCTATCCCCGCAATAACATGGTAGCGTAATTAGAATAAAGACTACCCTTATGCAGTGCTTTTAATGCTAGCACATTAAAAGTCCTGTAGAATCTCTCACTGATTATTCACATCTAAGCTACCCTGAGCGAGGATGCTCAAGCTGCCCTGCGTATTCTGGGGGAGGGGGAATCTATTACGATTGTGGTTTGTAGGCTGCTACCGTTTCTAACGACCTATAGTTCCATACACGGCGGCAGCCTGCAAATAACCATACCATTGCTATGGGTTTGCTTCTGGCTGGATGGTCTAAACGTTGTAGCTGATTCTGTACCTTATGTGGTACTTCAGGGAGTGGACCTTTTTATGCTGTCAACTGTGGTGCCAATCGAAGGCAGATCCCAGCTATGGTTTGGTCACTCTTGTGTAATTGCATCACGCCATAACCAAAAGTACTACCGGGCCTGGGCTGACTGTTCAACGTTCCGGGATGAAAACACCAGCGCTCTCAAAAATACTATTCCACATCTAGGTCTTTCAAAAGAGTCATTACCAAGGCAAAATCAGAGCATATCAGCAGAATTTGCGAGAAACTAGTTCACCTTTCTTCAAGAGTGCATTCTGGTCTCTGTCAAAGAAAAATTCTGTCAGCCATCTCTTCCATTTTGCACAAGGAGGACTTTTTACTGGCCCATGTCACAAAAGAGAAAGCCGATATTTTAGGCTCTCTTTTGGCGTCCAATTCAACTCTCGTTAACGGCGGGAACACAACACCAACCATCCCGCAGCGAGAGTGCTCCATGCTGGATGTGCGGTTAACATAGTGCATAATGCACAAAACACTCCTCTTCCTAGTCGTTAACAAGTCGAATGGGCTTGATGGAGTTCCTCCTTTTGTGCTAAAGATGTGTGCTCCGGAGATGGCACCGGTGCTAACGCGTCTTTTCTTACTTCTTAGGAGTAGTCCCGAATTCTTAAAAAATAGTTTTAGTGCACCCATTCTCTAGAAGAGGCGTCCGCTCAGATCTATCCAGCTACAGTCCTATCGCCATCACCTCTTTGCATGCCGCATGCTCTGTTTCCCCATTTTCTATGACATATACGTATAAAAATACACTCTACAAATATCCTCGATTAAGAATCAAAATGCAGATGCGTTGTCACGCCTGAGGACTAAGATGGAATGCTTCGTTGTCATTAGAAAGGGTTTCCGGTTCTCTACACTTACCATACGAAACACAGCAGCATAAAGCTGCTATTTCACATTAAATGAAACAAATTTTTACGGGTTCTATCGCGTTTACACCTATCGCTTTTCTCGACGTTTCGGATGCTTTACAGAATCCATGGTCACAGGGGGGACTAGGGTGTTTAACGTCCCGATGTCAATGTTAGCCCGGCTACCTTCAATTGTTGAATATTAATTTTTTGGTCCGATCTAGGCTTATAATATCTTGAAGTCTTGCAGTAGTATCCATGGGCTTGGATTTAATTTTATTAATTATAGGATCAGGATTAAGCAGATGGTTGCACCCATCCTAATTCTTTATTGTTTTTTTAATTTCCATAGCCTCGCGAATCATCCTTGGTAGGAATCGGTGTCTTTTGCGAGGATTTGTGGTCTATCAAATCTAATGTAATGGAGGGAACTATCTTGAACATGTTCACAGACTGCGGATTTCCCGGAACGTCGGTGCTTCAAATCAGAAAAAATTTTAGGCGGGTTTTAATAGATCTTTTTGTTTATCCTACGTAGGAAAGACCACACTCACAATCCAGCTTGTACACTCCTGCATCTTGTAGAGAGATATCACACTTGACGGATGGTAAAAATGTACTAATCTTCTTCGGCGAGTTGAAGTATGTTTTAATGGAAGCTCGCTACAAGATGTAGCCAACCTTGTCTGTGACTCCTCTAACATAGGGTACAGCAGGCACACGCTCGACTGTGGTCGGCTTCACTCGGTCACATAATCTATATTTCTCCTGATAATGCCAATTTTAAAGGCGAAAGACGTGACGAATTAACGACGATTTTGTGTCTTCCTTAGTGTAGTGGTGCCGGGGGTAGTGATGTTGGGATTAGTGGTGACAGTAATTGTGCACGCAATCGAGAAAAGCGCGAGGTGCGCCTGGAAGACCAAAAATCGGTTTGGAGGACATTATTATTATTACTGACTAATACCCGTTACCCTATGCGCGCACAATTTCTTTTGCCTACAAAATTTTACTCTTAATTGAGCCTAAAGTAAATCCTTAATAATTTGGTTATTTGATATGACATACGTATCATCGGAGCCGTCCTCAGCCATCCAGGTGCCATATTTGAGATAATCTGCTTCCCTCTTCTTTTACTTAATAAGCGAGTGGTTGGCTACGATTGCCACTGGTTAGGAATCTAATGCACCAAATGATAATTTCTGATGTAGCCCTAGATTTCATCACTGGCGCTGCGAAGAATTGTTGCATCTCTTTGCGTATTCTAACGTATCTACTATGGGGAATGTTCCAAGAAATTGTTCGGACTAATTCCAGCTGGTCAATTTCACCGTTGCACATCGCGATAAAACTCGGGATACCCCATCCACACCGTCTAGATGATTGGCGGGCCACCACTGAGCGATTTACAAGAAGTTTTCTTCCTCGCACATCTTCCTTGTGGAATCGATTACCACCAATAATTTTTCCGGACCTATACTTAGGAGCCTTCAAGAAAATAGCCTATTCTTTTTAAAAGGCCGGCAACGCATCTGCTATTCCCCTGGTGTTGCAGTTGTTCATAGGCGGCTGTAGTTACCATCAGGTGAGCCGCATGCTCGTTTACCCTTCTCAGTAGAGGCAATTTACAAACATAAATTGTACTGAAGGTGTTTTTAAAAAACTTTTACACCCAATCCCGGAAGTTCTTTTGGTTTATTTCCCCAATATTAAAATAATACAAAAAATGTACTAAAGCCGCGAACGGCGTGTGCGATATGCACTTAATATGAGCTGCACTGCCTCGATTACCTCAAACACTACGCTTATATACGAAATAAAATAATCGGGTCAGCGCTTTTAACTAAATAGGTTTGGACATAACATCTCCCCCCTTTTGACGGAGCTCATCCTTCTTTTAAATAAGGGATGAGCAGAGTCTTACAAACAACAGTGAAAATTAGAATAATTTGAATACAAAAATAATCATAAAATAGTTAAATAGAATTAGTTCAATTATTTATTATTATTATAAAATCAAATAGAGTTGATACAAAGACATAGTAAAATAAAACTTTATAACAATATCTTCACAAAATTATTAAACTTATTTATTGACATTATGAACTAGTATATTTTTATAAGATTCAGTGAACAATGAAATAGTAAAAGATTCAGTGAATAATGAAATAGTAGAATATTCAGCGTTGAATTAGTAATTTTTTTTTATTTCAAATATAAACATTTAATAATATTAATATCTAAGACACAGTGTATAAAATAAAAGAAATATAACTTAATTATAATGTAACATAAAATTTATGGTATAAGTATAGTCAAGTAATATAGTAATTAATTATTACATAAGTTTCGATTTGATAAGTTGAATTTACCAAATGTTCTTTTCATTTGATTTTGCACTGGCATGTTGGATAAAGATATAGAATCCTTTTTATCGTCGTCTGATGATGAGACTTCACTTAACTCAATAGAATTACTAACCTTTGATTTGTGTTTAACAATTCGTCGTGTATTGCACTGATTAAATATTTGTATACAACAGCAAGAATCGTTATTTCTCTTAATAAAGTAACAAAACATTTTATAGGAAACATATAAAATAAAACAAATGATCAAGAAGTATGTAAACGATGAATAGTAATTACCATATTTAATAATGTGAGATTGTTCTTGAACCTTATTGATCTCACTTTCTAAGTTGTTTAAGGAGTGATAAGAATATTTTAGAGCGTCCATGTCTAGGCTAGTTAGAGATATAGGGGATAAGTAGGGAATCGATTTATTTAAAACTTCCTTATTACAACAATCGTCTTCTATAATATTAAAGTTTAAATTCATTTTATTTTCAATTTTAATAGATTTAATTGTAGATGGTGATAATTGAATTGTCTTAGAAAAACCAATACAGCTTTCATTTAAACTTAGGATACATGTTCCTAAAATAGTAAAATCTTGTATTATATTATTACATTTTATAGTTAATTTACATTTTTCAGATTGTACATAGATAAACTTATTATTACTTATTTTATACCATACATCGATTTGTCCATATAAAAGTTTAGAGTTACATTGAGATGGCAAGGATAACGTTACTTCAGTTAACAATTTCGTTTCACAAGATGGGTTCTTTATTGTGGAAAATATAGAAATTAAAGGACATATAGAATAATCATTACTGATAATATTACAATCATTTAAATTATCTAACAAACTATAACTAAGTCTATCTTCTGTTATTCCAAGATAAGGCTTGGTGGCTTGAATTAGGGCGAAAGAATTAGGATTACTAGGATTATGAGGAGTTGGTAAGGGTATGCATTTGTATAAAGTGAACCTTAAAGAAGAAATCAGTGGTATGCGTAATATGAAAATTATTCTTTGATTATAATAGAAAGATGTGAGTTTTGAAATATCTATCAGAGTATGTATATTTTCAACCGTTAATGGTATTGGAAAATCTAGTCGCTAATTTATATAGTTACTCTGTTTTAATAGCTCGCGAAATAAGTTTGTAGGACTTATCACACTAGGATGTAAAATGTTTACCTTAGAAAATAAGATAGAGTTTAGTACATTATCTAAGAAATTAGAAATAGTGGCCAAAGAGCTTTCTATTATATTAAGTAAAGCATATATTTTAGAGATGTGTGATAATTGGTCATTGTTTTTGACAATTTGGGATAACACAATATTTAAAGAATTTATTTGAGAATTTAATTTATTTTCATTCATATTTAGTTTATATATTGTTGAGTTAAAAACATTAATAGACGATTGAATTATGTGGATATTATCCTTCATTAGTTTTAGTAGTTCGGATTCGCTATTTTGACAAGCGCTAATGGCTGCATCGTACTTTCGTGCATCATCAGCATCTAGAGTTCCAAAAAAGAATTTCAAAAATTCTCCACCGAATTCTAAAGCTCGTTTATGCCTTGTTTGTTTCTCGGTAGAAACTATATACGACAAAGATTCGACTTTAGCAAAATTTGAATTTAATAATACTTCAATAGGGCTTATGATATCATTACATTCAACGAAACCACGGAGTTGCAAGTTTTTGCAGAGCGTCGCAGTTTTGATTATAAGTGAATGTATATTGTCTAGATGTGGCTTAAGTGAAACTACGTCTATATGCGTTACAACATTCCAAAAATCGTTATAAAAATTAATTGTAGTTATTTGATCGAAATAAATACCTGGACTATTATAAATAGGTAGAATTTGAGTTTCAGCGTTGAATTGGTGGCTTATGGCCCTGAAATAAAGTGAAATTAGGGATGAGTTGGTTTAATTTCATTAATATGGTATTTCACATGCTTACGACCTATGAGAAGAGTTACATTATGTTTGCCATTTAATTTAATTATTTTATAAGGACCTTTCCACATAGGGGATAAGGGTTTGCAAAGTCTATGGTGACATTTTAAATAAACCATATCACCTGTTTTGTAGGATATATTTTTACTATTTGTGTCATAATATTTTTTCGATGTTTCTTTACTTTTGATTATGTGTTCTAATGCCTTTTGTCGACTAAGATTCATGCGATATTGTAATGCGCGGATGTATTCATGATAAGTTGTATCGTTACTCGTATTATATAAAGAATTAGGTATTGTTGGTTTATGCCCATATAGTAATTCATAGGGTGTATATGTAGTAGTGGTATGAGGGGTAGTGTTGTAGGAAAATACTGCAGTGGCTAAATAACAATGCCAATAATTCTGGTTTTCGTTAACAAAAGATTTAAGATATTCCTTGAGTGTAGCATGGCTACGCTCTAAGGCACCATTTGTTTGTGGGTGATAGGGGGTAGCATGTAAGGGTTTTATTTTAAATATTTCAATTACCTGTTTAAATAATTCCGACGTGAAACATGTGCCGAGATCTGTCAATATCGTTTTGGGAATTCCGAACAGAGAGATAAAGTGAACTAATATACGAGCTACTTCGTCACTGCTGGAAGTTATCATTGGATATACACATAAGAATTTGGTTAGGTCATCTTGTAGGGTTAATATGAATTTGAAGTTTTGCAAACCAGCTTCGGGTAGTGGACCGACTATATCTAGAGCTAATCTTTCGAATGGTTTTGTGCTTGTAGAAGTTATCACCATTGGAGCCTTATTACATCTTCTTAGTGGTTTATTTACTTGGCACAACTTACAATTTTTAACATAATTTTCTATGTCGGAGCGCATGTTTTTTCAAAAATATAGATCTTTTAAGCGGTTTAACATCCTTTTAATTCCGGGGTGACCAGCAATTGTTGAGTCGTGATTTTCTTTGAGAATTCGTGGAATTTCGGCAGGAGTAGGGTAAATAATTTGATTTCGGTATATATGAATTTTAATATTAGTATTGTGAAATATGTAGGCAATTATATTGTATATTTTTATATAGGATAGTTTACAAAATGGGTCAGCAAAATCGGAAATGGCTAAGTCAGTGATTTGGCTATTTCTTGTTATAATATTGTCGCGTAGTTGCATTAATAAATTGTAAATATTTCGGTATGTTAACTCTTCGTAATGGTGGATTTTTGTATACAAGAAATAAAACGTTTTATTATTCTCCTTAATATAAGAGATAGTGTAAGGTTCTCGTTCTGAATTTATTAAACTTTCAGAGTTTTGCAACTGGGATAGAATATTTTTACAATATGGGATAGATTTATCAAAGTCGAGGGATACGGGGCAAACAATATTATTTAATTTAGAAAGGTGTAATGCTTCTTGATGTTCTTCGATTACAGTATTTGTGGAAATGGAACTAGTAAATTGCTTTTTAAAATATGATTCATATTTGAGTTTATTAAGGACTACATTCGAATTTAAGGCGTGAATGGGTATGCGGGAAAGAGCATCGGCGTTTGAATTTTGCTTTCCTTGTTTATATACAATTTCATAATCATATTCCTCTAACTTGAGGCGCCAACGAATTAATCTACTTCCTGGATCCTTGACATTAAAAAGCCAGACCAAAGGTCTGTGATCAGTGACTATTTTAAATTTGTTACCATAAATATAGGGACGAAATGTTTTTACAGCGAAGAGGATAGCTAAAAGTTCTTTTTCCGTTGTTGAATAGTTGCCTTCTTGTTTATTTAATGTTTTTGAGGCATACGCGATCGGTTTGTCTTTTCCGATAGGACCTTGCGATAATACTGCGCCAACGGCGTCGTCTGTGGTGACAATAAACGGTTGCGAAAAATCGGGATATTGAAGTAACATAGCTGAAGTTCATTTTTCTTTTAACAAATTGAAAGCTTGGGTCTTGTTCTTGTGTCCAATTAAAATTAACATCCCTTTTTGATAATGACGTAAGGGGTTTTGTTATTTTTGAAAAGTTATCTATAAATCGACGGTAGTAACCTACTAGACCTAGAAATGATTTAATTTCCTTGGGATTTTTGGGAATAGGATAATTGGATACTGATTTTACCTTGTCAGGGTTAGGTGAGACACCTTTGTCAGTAATAACATGACCTAAATAAGTGACTTCGCGTCGAAAGAACTCGCATTTATCTGGTTGTAGTTTCAAATTGAAATCTCGAAACCTATCAAAAACAAGACGTAATTTTTCCATATGACTTTGAAGATCGTGGCTGTAAATAATACAGTCATCTAAGTAGACGAAACAGTGGAGACCTTGGAGACCAGAAAGGACGGTGTTCATGAGACGTTGAAACGTACTAGGAGCACCTTTTAATCCAAAGAGCATGCGATTAAATTGAAAATGACCGGAAATGCCATTTGTATTGATTACTGTAAAACCAGTCTTTTCAGCATCGTTAGGATTGAGAGGAATTTGATGGAAGCCGGAAACTAAATCAAGTGTCGAAAAATATTTAGAATGTCCTAATTGATCTAATATATCGCTAATTAATGGGATAGGATAAACTTCATTTATGGTCACATCATTAAGTCGCCTATAATCTATGACAATGCGCCACTTCTTTTTGCCAGATGCATCCATTTTCTTAGGCACGACCCACACTGGGGCGCTCCACGGAGATATTGACGGCTTAATTATATTTTGTTTTAACATTTTTTTAAATTGTGAATCTACTTCGTCTTTATGACATTGAGGAAAACGATATGACTTAACGTGAATAGGAGGGGTGTTCCCTGTATTTATCGAGTGTTGAATCGCGTTTGTACAGGTGAGGTCGTCTCCTTCGAGATAAAATATGTCTGAGTATTGTGAACAACAGTCTAGTAAAAGTTTTTTCTCCTCAGAGTTTAAATGAGAGTGACGAATTTGTTCGCAGACGCGTTGAACACGATTAGAGTGGGTTGTCGAAATTGTATTTATGTTATTACACGATTCAAAAGATTTGGAATATTCATTAAAATCGATCGGCGTTAATTTAACCTTGAAATTTTTTATTTTAATTTGCGATTCGGTTGTGTTTAAGACGGAAACGTTAACTCTTTTATTTGCTTTTAAAGTCACTAGGCAGTTCGCTAAATAAACACCATTACAAACGGTTTGATCTAGTATGAGAGCATCCTTAAGGTGACGCAACTCGGACGGGTTATTCGATACGGAGCATTCGATAACAGTTTCGCTACGCGCTGGTATAATGTAAGTAGGTTCTGAGAAGTGGATAGGCACAGATATAGAATTTTTAAAACAAAGCGAATAAATATGATAATCTATATTTACCTTAAAATGACTGAGGAAATCGCTTCCTATAATTCCGTCGTAATCAATATTAATATCGTCTGATGTAACATGAAATTTGTAGTTTATGGAAAAATTATCTAAAATGAAATCTAACAGTAATGTTCCTAACGTTTCGTTACAAGATTGAGTGCTGTTTATACCCTTGAGTTTTATGATTTCATTGGAGAGCGTAAATTTTCCATTTAAACTCGATTTTTTTATAATAGAAACACTTGCGCCTGTATCGAGTAGTAATCGTAAGGGTTGAACAGAAAGATTTGATCTAAAATAAACATGGGGTAGTGATGTTTTCTTACTTGATATATTCATAATATACGTTGGTATTTCACCTTTATTATTAGTTAAATCATAGGTAGGGTTAGTATGACTCGAAATATCTTTTCGAGATGTAGGTTTTGTATAAGAAATAGCATCTTTATTAGATATAGAATTGGTATAAGAATTAGTACAAGAATTAGTATTATAATTATTTCTAAGACTCTGATATTGATTCAGAGATGTCCTGGGATGATTTTCCCGAGGTAATAAATAATTAGTATTTTGACTTTGACCTTGTGTCAAAGATGGACTCGGGTATTGTTCCCGAGGTGTAGAGTTAGAAAAAGAAATAGTATTTTTAAAATTACAAGATTTAGTAAGACTCGGCGGCATTTGATGTCGCTGAGGTGTATTATAAGAACACTTTTTATGATAACTATAATTAAATTCGTTATCATTATAGATAGGCTTAGTATAAGAGTTAGTAAAATTTGTGCCTTGGAATATTTTCGATTTCGGTAGGCACTTTTCCGAAATCAGAGTTAGTTTAAATCTTCGTTACAAATATCGGCACTAGAGGTAGATGGTTGTGCGTTACATAAATGCATATTATTTCTATTAGGTGTGTGTGCACTGGGACTTGGTAACGCAGTCGTCGGGCGAGTATCCGGTTGCATATTACGACGAATGCTATTGTTATATTGTCGCTTGCGACATTCATTTATTATATGTCCCGGATTTGAGATGTTATGAGAATTAGGATAGTTATTATTTTGCGGATTAACATAATAAGCTCGATGAGATTGTTTTTTCTTATTATTATAGCAGCTGGAAGAATCATGACCGGATTTTTGACATATAGAACATTGTTTATATGATTTGGAAGAAATTTTGCTTAGAATATATAATTTTTCTTCTTCTATGGCATGCGTAATCGCCTCGCTTAAGTTTTTCGGATTTCGGCATCTAACAATATATCCATAATTAGAATTTAAGCCTAATATAAAAGTGTTGAGGGCTAAATCTTCCATAGCGGCAATTCTTCCTACTAGCTCGGACTTATTCTCAGAACTATAATGTATATCAGATTGTAATCGCGTTAAACAAGATTCAATTCTAAGCGAGTATTGCATTACGGTTTCTGAGTTTCTCTGTCTACAGTTTTGGAGTTCTATTAAAAGGTGTGTGGAGTGTTTCTTTTCGCCAAAGGTAGTTTTTAGGAATATTTTTAATTCATCCCAACTATTAAAAGTTTTTAATGAGCACGCGATTTGGGCTTTTCCCTCTAACTGGGATATGATATAACAATACAGAACTGATTGCTGTTCCGAATTCGCGAGTGATATGGCGTTATCACAATTTGTTAAGAATGCTGGAAGTGATTCTCTGTCGCCATTGTAAGGTTTAATAAATTTTGTAAGGACCGATAAGGGAATTTTGTCAGACATTTCTAGTTCTTCTGGTTTTTCCTTTAAAGTTTTAGTCTTATGCATGTGGAATAAGAAAAATAGTTAAGGAGTTAGGAAATACAAAATTGGTGAAATAAGGATATGGTATACAATTAATGACAAAATGTAAAGAATTAGAACAAAGTAGTACAAAATTTATCGCTAAATTAAGGTTAACTTACAATATCACGAACACTACGGCGAACATTGGTTGCTATGCGGGTGTCGTGTTGCGATGACGTGCAGCGGAGTCGAGTTGCCGTGAGACCCAGGGAGTCGTTTGACGGCAGCGTCCACGTGGTTGTGCGGTGGGAGTGCAGCAGCTCAGGGCAGGCTCACACGCGTGGGGTGAAGACTGACAGCCTTGATTAACTTCGGGTTGATGACGATGGAGATGCCTCAAGCTCGTGGGGCTGAGACCTTGTTGGTGTTTCGGATGATGCAGGCTCACACGCGTGGGGTGGAGACTTACTGTCGATCTTGCTTCAGAGTTTCCCAGGATTCGGATGCCACGCTACCGATATACGAGTAGACCGTGTGACATCCCACTTCTGACACCATTACGATAATATTTCGCTCAACGTGCCCAAACCACCGAAGCACGCCCTTATCAATTTTTGTGATAAGGTCATCTTTCAAACCTGCCATATTGCGAATCTCTTCGTTTCGCTTTCGGTCGGCCATGGTAACGCCGCACATTTTACGAAGAGATCGCATCTCCACTGCATTCAACTTGCTTTTATGCTTCTTCTGGCATACCCAGGTTTCGCTGCCATATAACAAAGTCGGTACCAACACTGCGTTATGTATTGCAAAACGTGCACTCTTCACTACGCCTTGCCTTTTGACTAACGCAGTCAGGGCACCATTGACTTTGTTCCCGGTAGCGACACGCCTGTCCACATCTGAATCACATCTTCCATCCCGGCTAAAAGCACGCCCCAAGTATACAATTTCATTTACTTGTTCTAGACATTCCTGATTTACCTATATTTCACACTTCGTTCTCTCTTCGTCCCTTTCAAATACCAGAACCTTAGTTTTATTAGCGTTCAAACGGAGACCTTTAATTTCACATTCCTCTTTCATACACGTGACTAATAACTGCAGTTCTACCTCTGATGGTGCAATAAGCACTGCATCATCAGCATACAGCAGACAATTTACTTTTATGTCACTCAATTTCATACCCAAACAGCTATCTTTCAGCTTTTGTAAACAGCTGTCGAGATACAGTATGAACAGCCAGGAAGACATGACACAACCCTGTTTTACGCCCGTTTGGACGCTAAACATGGGTGACAGGTCATGCCCTACCCGCACACAGGCTTTACAGTCACAGTAAAGGCCAACCACACCATACCCCGGCAACAGTTCCCACATTTTATTCCTTACAACCTTATCAAATGCTTTCTCAAGATCCACAAAAGCACAGAAAATCTACTGGTTAGCAGCCAGAAGCTTTTCCGTGATCATGCGGAGAAAAAACATTTGATCCGTGCATCCTCTTCCAGGTCTAAATCCGCATTGTGCCTCCCATAGAAATCTTTCCGATTTCTCTTGCATCCTACGTGTCAAAACCTTCGAGTAAACTTTACTTGCTAAACTGGTCAAGCTGATCGCCCAATAGCACCCGCAGTCAAAATGTGAACCTTTACCTTTATATAAAGGCACAATGACTGCGGATCGCCAATCATCCGGGACATCCCCCGTCCGCCAGCACAAATTGCACAGCAGATGAAAGCTGTCCCAGACGCGAGGCCCACCATACTTGACCATTTCAGCAGTAACTCTGTCTAGTCCCGCAGCCTTACCACATTTCAAACTTCGAATCGCACGTTCAATCTCTTTCATACTGATGACCTCAGTGTCATCGAGGTCCGGGTCTGGCGTACCAGTCACGGCGTCATCCCCGGATCCCTCACTAAGATCATCACACGCATACATTTCTCTATAAAATTCGCTCCATCGCTGCATGACGTCCGATTTTTCTGAGAGGACGTCATTAGTTTTCGAAAGCACTTTGTTCATTCTTAAGGCCGTCGCACCACTTCGGGTCCTTCCAACCTCTTTCCAGAAGAATTTGGAGTTCTCCTTAAAGTTGTGCGACAACCTTTCGTCCGCTTCCATTCTACACCTTTCACGCACTTCCTCAATCAATGCTTTCGTGTGAATTTTCTGCAGCATATATCTTTCTTTCATCTTCTCTCTCATATTCTTATCATTACTAGAGGCCAAGTAGTCTAACCATGCTTTCTTCTTCTTCTTTACAGCTTCTTTCACTTCATCATTCCACCATGCATCTCTTCTTTTACTACTGCCTCTTTTTATTGTTCCACACACTTCTTCCGCTGCACTTACCATTCCATCCCTAAGGTTCTGCCATGTTCTTTCTACACGTTCGTTTCTGCCATCGATGGTGTCAAGCTTTTCGGCTACAATAAGTATTATATATAACGTATATTTAATAAAAAATCCATGCTGGTCCCACCTAATCGTAGCGAAGGGGTTTGAGAGCGGCGGTGGTTTGGTTACCCACATTGAACAAACAGGAACCCACTTGGCTGGCCCGAGGTGGCCAGTCCGAGTTGGCTTGGCGAGCGTACTTCGGATGTGCGTTTAGTGGACTGTGGAGTAAAGCCAGTCCGACAA